TTGATTAGGCCAGAGCCTAAGAACGAGTAGTCCAACCCATAGGTCGAGAGCTACTAAAAGTAATGAGTGCTATTGAATGAACTATAAGTCCAGTCAATTATATATAATATTATTGTTGATTAACCACATTGTGAATTAACCAATTATTTATTCAGAGAGATATATCTAAAGGAACTATAAGTCCTTTAAAAGACACTGATTAATCACAAGTTAACAACGTCTCGTGAAATAACCAGTTGGGTTTTCTATAAGTTTGAGGACACTAAGTCCAACAAGCTATTATTGTGTTGAGAGTAATAGAGATCTTTTGTAATATTTGTAGAGGTTTGATTAATCACATTGTGAAATAATCAGATTAAATAATTATGTAGCTTTATAGAGAGGACTATAAGTCCTAATTGGTTGTTGTCATAAGTACTGATAAATTACACATTAAAGTGCTAGGTCAATTATTATATATAGGTATATAGGAAGGACAATAAGTCCTATTTGTGTATGTTGTAGTAGTAGAGGCAATATATTGCATAATTATAATGTGAAAGATATAGATTAAATATATATTTGTATAGAAAGGACAGTAAGTCCCATACAATTATTGTAGCTGTACTATAGTTATACTATATCTACTTCCTTTTAGTGTCTTAGTAAACCTATTTACTAAGAGGATTTCTCAGATAAACAAGTGTTTTAGTGTTTAAATCATCATGATTAAATCCCTAAGAAATTAGGTCTTTAAATAATTATCATATCATTTAAGTGAAATTTCTCATATAAATAATTCCAATATTTCCCCTACAGTTATTATAAAATAACAGAAAATTATATAAATTTTCTATAGACTTAGATATAGAATCATAACGTGTATAATCTCCTTTTGTTTGACATCTGTCACATTAATGACGTATTGAATGACGTATTGATGTATTGAATTGAATTTTCATTATCTATCACATCTGTCAACGTAACAAATACTAGCAAGTTTGTTCATTTGTATTTGTTTAATATAATTAAATATAAAATCATCATATATCAACCGTAATTTACAACTAAATTATCAGTGATATAAATAATCAAGGTTTACACCAGTAATAATTAATAGTATCCAGTAATGCTGCAGTTTTATATTCATATCAGTAGCCAAGCTTACTTTCAAATTCAAGAATGAACAGAAGATTAGAAGTTTAACATTCTTATTGCAATTGTACTTGCAATAATATATACATACAGTACTAATTATCAAGAACATTCCTCAAATACAAGTGTGGTGAAGATTTCCCAATATGCTATCTATTTGATTCCTAACCTCTAATGTAAATTTATTAAAGAAGTGAATAATCAGTGTTAGTGTTTGCTTTATTAATATTTAAAGTAATTGTCCTAACTTGATATTAATAGGTTCATATCTCCTTGGATACAGCCCAACATATACAACTAACTCGATAATGAAATTTATAAAATACTAATATTACATTTTACTACTTGTATATCTCCATTCTATTCCCATAAATATTCAAAATATGTATATTAAATATAAATCCAATAAAGATTCACTAATATTAACCCTGTCTGAACTTGTCTAGTCAATATAGCATGAACAAACAACACACATACAAACCTTTTCGCCATGACAACTTTCTTCCTAAATATGAGTAAAATAATATAATAAATAGCTCACACTTGTCATTTAGTATTAATTTTATACTGTACCTCATACCTAGTTAAGAGTAATTATTGACAGAGAATCATTTGATAATTTTATTACCATTAGGAATTAAATCCACACCTATAATATCAACATAATTAAACATTATTAGAAACCAGTAATACACACAGAATTGTTATTATCAGCTTGTTTACTACAACAAAATCAATATTAAAGTTTATAATAAATCAAGACAAAATATCTATTTAAACAATACAGGCTTGTTTACCATAAACACCCCACAGTCACATGAATTTATCTAGTAACACAATTAATAATGTATTAAAAGTATTACATCCACATAAAATCACTTACAACAGTTAAGCTGTCTCTTTGTACATCTGGTGTAAAACAAATCCCCACATGTAGTCATGGATAATCAAATATAGACTAAGAATCATTAATCTGGTCGACCGAGTAATGGTATAAAAACACTTCACCATGAAGCGTTAAGTATGAACAGATATTCCAAACCAACACTGTAATAGTGTAATAAATACAAATATTTCATCATCATCATCGTCTCAACCATCACCAACCCACGTCTGAACACAGGCAATTTCCACCGACTGACACAAGGAACGGCCCCACAATACACATAAAACAGTCACTCCAAACAATGGAGGCAGCCCACACCGCACTTGCATTTACAGGGTCGCCACTCAATAACCCCTCTCTCTCATCAATGGCTGTTTCCCCAGCAATGAGACCAGACCATAGTCACTTTAGTCTATTATCCTCAATAAATAAATACTTTATAATAACTAGATATGAAACTAGTTAGTATTGTAATAGTTCAATAGTTGATTCAATAAGTATTTTGCAAAACTGGACAATTAGAACATTGAATCAAATTGATGAAGTTCTATCAAACGACCATATAATTGGATTTTGTATATGAGTAGAATAACGTAAGTACGTAAATTATATTGATGTAAACTTTGTTCAAATGTGATTGCATTTAACGATATACGCATTACTTAAAGGTATATGGACTCGTCTAAATACGTATTTTAATAGTTGTTGGGAAAAATATTAAGTATAGACTTTGCCTGTGATCACAGTCAAAAATCTAACTACGTAGTAATAAATGGAACAAGCTCACCGGATTCTCCAGTCTTCTATTGATTAATTTCACACACTTAATCGATAGTGATACACTAAGATCTCAAACCCCTTCATCGATCCAGTCCCTCCTCGATCTATATCCCAGTTATTTTTCTATTTTATGGCGCAGTTCCTTAAAACACGACTCCTGCGCCATTTTTTTTTCTTTTTTTCTCTTTTTTCTTATTGCGCAATTCCTAAAAACCGACTCCCGCGCGCCCGCCGATCTGCCGTCTCTCCTTTTTTTTTTTATTTCTTTCTATTCTTTCTCTAATAACGTCATAGATTATGTCACCGAAGGGTAGATATTTCAATAATCAGATTTAGCCTATTATTCGAACTGAACTTTTCTTCAAATTTCATTTAATTATATGTTAACGTATTTTGGTATTTTCTATTAATTTTATTATCGAATTTATAAAACTTTAAAGGCTCTCATAAACCTTATTAAACTGTGTTGTATGCATCCTTTTTACACCTGATGATAAAAGGTAAACTATAATTTGGTTATATATAAAATATAATATATTTTTGTTTAATTTATTTAATTTTCTTGTGACATCTACTACACTTTGGAAACACATCAAAGGAGTTTCCCTTCTGTGTCAATATTTCATATATGGTAACGTCTTCTCTGTATACTATTGTGAACCTTGACTTTAAAGTTTGTTTATATCAAATAGCTCAGCCCTCGCAGCGGCCACCCACAGGAACCCCTGTTTCTTTTCTATGTACTTATGGTATTAAACCTATTGTACTATAGGTGAACCGTCACAAGTTATCGGCTGATATGATGATGATGATGATGATTATACTATTAATTTATGGTAATGTTAATTAATTATAATATTCCAAGATCGTACATGCTGGAAATCTTTAATATCGCTTAAATAAAAAATAACACTATATAATCTTATCGATGGTATAGTGTCAAATGCTTGAAGTACAAAAAAATATTATTTTTGAGAGAGTAACTACTATATTTTATTTGAATATAATTTTACTTGCTATAATTCTATTATTTTCACTCACTTTAAATTAACAATAACAGAAGTTTGAACAATAAATATTCTTCAAGAATATTTATTGCCTTTAAACTTATGTTAATAACATGTTCTGTTAACAACATATGTGCAAGAGGAGGAAGGGATTGTTAGTAATGCGAACTACTAGTCCCATTGCTAGTAAAATACCCTGTCAGATCGACCCCCACGTGGTCCCCCTGGAAACCAACTTGCTGAATTCCAGGTGTTATCATCGTGATGGGCTAACTGACCTGTCTTTTCATCCTCACCTATCATCCCTCACTGGTGCCCCGCCAATGTATACCATTAGCGGAGGCGGATTTCATTATCATCTATTAAAAACAAAAAATAAGTGAAATGATATTTTGAACAAAAGAAAACAAAATTATAACCCGATTAATATTTATAATCTATTTATTACGAATCCCAATTAAACGAATGCGAATTTCTAGAAAGTTACCGATTTGTTCGTAACTAGTACGGAATCGAACTGGAGGCCTGTGATAGGTGGCGAGGTCGCCACCAAGTCACCCGGCGCTAAACTCTCGTATAAACGATAACCCTATTACGAGTGCCACGTTCCGTTCTAGTATGTTCAACTTCTCGTGGTATCTTAGTATCTATATATAGAATCCTATATAAATGACGTCACAATATAATCGTTAATTGATGTAATCCTATACCTACTATAATATTATAAATGCGAAAGTTTATAAAGATGTTTCGATATTTAGATATTTGTAACTCAATCGCACTTGAATGGTTTAACAGATTTGAATAAAATTTGTTACATAAATGGATCTTGTCCTAAATTGACACAAAGGTACAAAATATATACTGTACATAATGATTTCTACATCAATTTCACGCACGCAAAACCGCTGAATTAAGCTAGTATTTCTTTAATTGAGATTTGTTTGTACAGAAGTAAGCATTTAAATATTTGGAAATTATTACACAAATTGACCATATTCTAGGTCAAATCTACACAGGCAAAGCTATATTGTACGCAGTATGTAATAATAAGTACCCCTTTATATATAGATATTTTTGACCAAAAATATTCTTGTTTTTTCACCAATAATGCAAAAGAAACAATTTTTTTTTATTTGTTAGGTTAAACCATTTTTTTTTTCGTACTCTAATTTCGTTAATATTTTTTCCAGGCGGAGAAGAAGGGTTGTACGGCAACAGAATATGGTTTGGTGTTTGGTATATTCGAATTAGTTGTATTTATAGTCAGTCCCATTTATGGGGCTCACCTGAACAAATTTGGGCCCAAAGTGCTCTTCAATGGAGGCATACTCACTACTGGAACCTGTGCCATACTCTTTGGGTACGTATTGGTTTAAGACTTCATGTATTTTCAAGTAACATATGCACATGTACATATATATCGTGTGATCTTGACACAGAATGGGCCACCCCTTGCATTTCTATGAGTGTCGTAAGAGGCGACTAAGGTAACTTAATGGTAGAGGGATGAACAGCAATGTCTCTCTTTTAACATCACCAAAGCCTCACTGCGGTTACTAACCCGCCTGTAAAGCGTGGATACTACTTTTTTTTTAATGGGTGATAATGGAATGGTAACCCCACCCGCGCTATCGGTATACACCGGCGGGCCACCAGTGAAGGATGATAGGTGAAGATGAAGCAGGTCAGTTAGCCCATCGTGACGAATTCTACAAGAATTGTTCACAATGGTTTTCAGGTGGAACCACGTGGAGGCACCTAATAGGGCAAATTGCTAGCAATGAGGCTATCAAACTCCATTGCCAACAATCCCTTTCCCCCCAAGTGGCAACTACTGGTAAAACCTTCCATATAGGCATGTTTAGTAGAAGTTCAGTTAATAGCTGATATGTTGATATGTACTTCACTACGGACATAAGTTCTATGATAGACATGACAGAAGACACATATCTTTCGTTTTCCAAATTGAAACCCAACATGCCAACCAAGTGGAACAGAGGTACCCAAGCAGAGAACATTTGTATAATGGCTCTTTTCGGCATTTAAATGCAATAAATAAAATTCGTCATTGGATTGTTATCAATGCATTCAATTTGTTTATCGGCGCCGTACAAAAAAAATGTTTTAAGCCGTGAACTTTAACTTCCTAATCTATACCTTAGTCAGTTTATGTACAACTTCTTTTTCTTGCTGAATTCTGTTTTCCTGTTTTCATGTTGTATAAATTTACAGGCTTCTAGATAAAATTGAGGGTCACATACCGTTCATAACCTTCAGCTTCATAATACGTATCGTTGAGGCCATGGGCAACGCTGCTTTTTTGACAGCATCCTTCGCCATCATCGCTAAGGAGTTTCCAAATAATACCGCCAGCATGTTTGTAAGTACTACATCTCTTTAAAAGCTCAAATTAATATTTAACAATTTAATTTACAAATACATACATAACATACACTTCTGATAACGCATCACTTCATTATTCACAAAAAATATATAATAATTCTTGTTTATGAAGGTAAGTCGCATAAAAACCACGACTGCGTTTTGGTTCATGCTAGTGCATGGCCGTAGCTAGGGTTGGGGGGGGGGGGGAATTGCGGGGTAATGCCCTACCTTAAAATAAAAGGCCCCAAGAAAATTACATAGAGTGGCTTTTTCGAAATTATTTAGTTATGACTTTTGCCTTACCAGAATGTTCTTTTGCCTTACCTTAAACTTGGGTCTAGGTAGGCCTCTACTAGTAGGATACAAGAAATGGATATAAAGTGACAGAAGTGAGATGTAAATGTTACTGAGTAAAACGTTAAATAGATGTGATATATTTGAAATTGAGACGTATTACTTCTTTTGCGTAGACTAGTGTAGGCTGGTTATTATCGTTTCTTTAACCTACAACAGAAAGTATTTAAGCATTACAAAGTAACTGTAAATTATCTGTTATAATTTGTATTATTCGATAAACTGTCATAATGACAACTACAAGTAAATAAAGACGAACAGATTTCGGGCCCTAGCTGTGTATACTTATTTTTTATTTTATTTTTTTGTATTTAAATATAACGTATAATTTTTGTTAATTTAAAAACATCTAAAAACAGCAAATACTGACAATTCCATCTCCTATAGATGCGTTATCTTATCTTACTAAAATAATAAAATTTTATTTAGACAATGATGTGGAAAATATTTAAATATATATATATATATATATATATATATATATATATATATATATATATATATATATATATATATATATATATATATATATATATATTATATTATAAACTATAATAAATATATTATATATAAATACCGAAGCAATAATTTTTAGAAATTTTATCTGTCTAGCTATCTGTGTATTTATTCTGGCATGAGGCTAAATCTACTATACCGAGTTTTATGTATCTCATTTAATTGTGCTCTTTAAGGTCTTATTTAATATATATGTACATATCTCTTATGAAGTAGCGGGCATAAAGCTAGTCATTTCTTATATCAGAATTTGTACACTCTCTACTGTTAGGACGCGCGGTTATTATGAATTCAAAGTTATAACCACATTTACATAAATAAGTGGAGTATAAATTAATAATTAAAATAAAGATGTGACATTGTAAAGAATCGAATATAAATGTGCGGTACTTATTTCGTTTAATACACTCTTATTATTATCATTTTCGAGGCGAAGTTATCGACAAGCGAGGCCAAACAGGTCGAGAATCCGGAGTCGCGACACACGACAGGAAGGATGTCATGTACAAAACTTGTCTTGAGCGTCCTCCCTACTTAATGTACAATAACATTATATTGTAAAAGCATTAATATTCACTTTGGAAAATCTTCAACTAGTTGTAATGTTGTACCGAGTATTATAACCCAGAACTTATACTCATTAATTCAACGGTCATGTCACACATATATATAATGTATTAGGAGTAAAGTTACTTTTACAATATCAAGTTATAAAAAAATAATATACTACCAGACTGTAGGCACTTACTTTGATAGGTCCTTATTATATTTTTATGATTTTTTTAACTATAGTAATACCTATATTCGCCAAATTTGTAGTGGAATGGGAAATTAGAAATGGACTATTGATGTGTTAGGATTTCGATGATAACGCTCTCAATTATAAATATAATACAATATAAAGTATTCTATAGCGTTGTTACCCCAGATTTCATACAAATAGAACGTAAGTTCACTATATACCATTCATTCATAAATTCGATTCAAGACTAATTCTTATCAAACAAAAGTCTGTAACGTCTACCTATAATTACTTTTATATTATTGACCTAAGTTAACATAGAGGTCATTTTAAACAAGTAGTAAATTTTTTTTCAAGTTTATTTCATTAATAGAATAGATTACGTACCGTTTATTAATGCCACACATGAAGCCTTATCGATAGGAGTATAACGACATAAAATATGTATAAATATACTAAAAAGATATTGTACTGATACTCAAATAGACACTCCCACAATTCACCATCAGCAATCTCTCATAGAACAAATAGGCATATACTTATATAACATTTGTATATATACTCTACTTCAATACAAATAAATGGAAAAGTAAATAAAGATATTACAGTGTGCTTTCAGCATAAAATAAGCCACGCCTTTCTTTCCCGTGGGTGTCTTAAGAAACGACTAAGGGAAGGCGAGGGATGGAAAATCTAAAAAATCTCCAAAGCCTAGCTGCGATTGCCAATCCGCCTGTCAAGCGTAGCAACTACTGGTGAACCCCCCAAGGGGGATGCTTATGTTCAGCAGTGAACAATTAAAGGCTGATATGATGATGATGAAACAAAGGTATAATTGACCCCATTTGACCCCATACTAGAGATTTCACACAAAAATTCTCTGTATACCAACACACTTACGCACTCCGATCTCTGTCTATATCACATTTCTAACCCCAACCAGCTGAGGGGAAAGGGATTGTTAGCAATGGAGACTAAGAATCCCATTGCTAGCAATATACCCAACCAGGTCGACCTCCTCAAGGTTCTCCCTGGAAACTATCATAGTTAATTCCTGATGAATTCATTATGATGGGCTAACTGGCCTGTTTTCATTCTCATCTATCACCGTTCAACGGTGCTCCGCCAGCGTATCCCGTTAGCGCAGGCGGGGTTACCATTCTATTTTCACCCATAAAAAAAATGTATGTTTGTTTGAAGTGTGAAGTATAGCAGAAAAATTATAGGGTTTGAAGACACTATATATACCGTAATGACTACCATTATTAAGTATCGCCTATAGACACGAATAGCACGTTCATCCTCTTCTCTTTCATGAAACGAAATGTAAACTTATTTACCATTTTATGTTGCTTAATAAAAATATATTTTTTATTATTCTTTTATTATAACTACAGTTACACTAACCAAACATGTTTACATAAAAGATACCATAATTATTTATTCATCACAGAAACATCTATTTTATTGAGTATTAGGTACTTTTTGTAAAAAGACCAATATTTCAATGAAGTTACCACGAATAACATAGATATACTAATATTGAAAATGTATATGTATATGTATGGTGTAAAACACATTATTTTGAATTTATTTTTAACTTGCTTCTACTAGGTTATATTGACAGACCAGGATAAAAGTAACCTACATCCTTTCCTTTACACTTTACGTATAGTAATTACAATATATTTTTTTTATTTGCCGTCTCGCGTGCATGTACATAAAAAATACAAACAACTTGGTGAACATATTGGAAAACTGTGTAATAAATTAAAATAAATAAAAGAACTAAGATATTCACAGAAAGTACTGCGCTAAAGTAATAGACTCCGATATTGCTAAACTTATTATTACAGGCGTTACTGACGAAACACTACCATAATCGAAATTTTCAAATCATTTCGAAATTATAAATCTATTAAAATAATATTTTTTATGCAACTTTGAATGGCCAAGGTAAACAAGTTTACCAACCACCTGATGCCAAGTAAAGTATTCAATTCAATTAACAGTCACTTATTAGACTGTCTAGTCAGTCCAGACATAAACAACATCATGGATATCACGAAATACACTTCGACGCCCATGATAACTATTGTGTTATGCCTCTACATTTTTTATATGTAAAATACTGTATGTTTTATGTATATATATATTTGTACAAAAAAAATAAAGGCGAATCAAAAACTTTTGCAAATCACTTAAAATTAATAATAAATGAACATCTGTTATTCAACAACTTTACATGTCATAAAAACGTATCTATTTATTTATATAAACTAATAAATACTATTTCAATAAATAAAGCTAATCACAAAAGTACTGTCCTGTGTCTTCGTATTAAAAACAATTGAATCGATTCTGGGGCGTCATTGCTCTAAATTTAAAAACTAAAATTAAAATTTTTATTTGATATCATAGCAAAATTTCTATTTAAAAGAAACTAATATGAAATAATCATCTAATAGATTTAAGTCAAATTTATTATAAATGTAGTTTGTTATTGTCCATAAAACAGTTATTTCGTGAAATTATTAAATTAAAATATAACTTTAGAGAAATGTTACCTTAGAATAGGCCGCATGTCGGGGAAGATGATATAAAACCTAGAGCTTAGATCAGTGGACAGAGACAATCTACATCTATTGAGTTAAGGCTAAGGAAATAAGTATATAATGCCTACAATTTTTTTTTTCTTTATTCGGTGATTCTTATTTATAATATCAACTAAATATTGTTTCCAGGCCTCATTAGAAACATTCTTCGGCCTCGGCCTTATAGTAGGTCCTATGCTAGGTGGGACGCTGTACAGTTTGGGTGGTTACACGTTACCATTTGCTGTGCTCGGTTCAGCTTTATTCTGTGCCGCCGTAATGAGCTGCGTTGTGCTGCCGAAGACCCATGACGATGAAGATGTAAAACCCACTGGCCGTGAGTATTTGTCGATGTTATTTCACAATACCTTCATCAAACCTACTAACTAACTTGATGCACACTGTCAAGTCTAAATTACTTTATTTTTACTTTCATATAAACCTACCCTGACAATAATTATTACATATAAAAATAGTGTACATGATCCATCTGATCTCGAAAATCTCTAAAATTAAATAGAAATATTTTTTTTTTTACCTAAACTTAGTACCAAAAGTATTTAAGACTAAGTAAGTTACGTACTAAGTAAAAAAGCAATATTAGCCGTCAAAAATAGATAAAAAACTTCGAACAAAAAATATGTATCAAATCTATGCAACTGATTTATAGAATATAAAATAATTAGCCTGTTAATAATAGCTACCGATATATTGAATAGAGGTATATTATTTATAATCTTACAATGCTATGAATATTAATTGTTAGTGGTTACATAGATCCATTTTCCAATCTCATTAGTATGAGGGCCGTGTCGACTCTTAAATAACTTAATGATTACTTTTAATTAAAATGTTAGATATTAATTGCAATAATGAAAAACGGCGCTATGTTTTTAAAGAATATATATTCACCATCGTTAGGGGCATAATTTGACTAAGAATTCGACATTTGATGCTCCATCAAAAAATAACTAGCCATAGTAGTCTATGAAAAATACTCTTTTATTATATTCGGTAGTCAATAGTACATTATTACGCTTACAGCGACGATGCTGGCCCTACTGCGGATCCCTGGCGTGTTGTTAGCAGCAATAAGCATCATGAGCACAAGTTTGAGCATCAGTTTCCTGCAGGCGACGCTAGAACCACATTTACGTCAGGTAAAGTTAAAGGGGCGCCGACTACATAGGTGCTCGGGGGCTTTAGCATGCATAGGAAGTAAATAGCGACTATAAATACATCTTCCTTGAGCGATACTATCTCATTATCGCCATTGTTATATAACGTCTCTTTCATATTTCTTACGTATATCACCTAACAATTAATAATTAATAACAAACTGTTAAGCCACAACAATTTTGCTATATTCTGGTCTACTGTTCATATGGCATATGGCCGTCAATTCAAATGTATTTTTTGTGAGAACAAGAGGAAAAGAGAGAGAGAACATTCTTTATTTGCGTGTATAGTACATGTATTTTGATTAACAATAATAATATCGCGAATACAGACAATTGATATGACTGCAACAAAGCAACCTGATTGTTGAAAACAATCTTATAAGATACAGTTGTTGTCATTCGATTTATTTTCCAATTTTGACTAGTATTTTCTAAATTAAAAGATTTTCTTTAATCTGATGCTAAATGAAATAATTTATTATAATAAAGTTTTAAAATAATATAGTTTTTTTTTCTAATTACTTCAGTTCCAATTCTCCCCTGTTGTGCTGGGCCTGATGTTCGTGATTAATGGCGGTGTGTACGCCGCGTCCGCGCCGGCGTGGGGCTGGCTGTGCGACCGGCCGTACGTGAAGCAGAAGCACGTTACCGTCGTCGGATGCTTGTTCGTGTCGGCGGGGTTCCTACTTATTGGACCGGCGCCTTTCCTCCACTTACCAACGTTAGTAGCTTTTTCTTTTCAAAAATTTTATAAACTTAATGATAATATTAACAGCATATAAAAGGAAAATGTACAAAAGTCATCTCAGTGCCCATGTGCTGACAACCCTGACAATAATGTAAGTAATGGAGACTGAGAATCCCATTGCTAGCAATATACCCAACCAGGTCGACCTCCCCGCGGTTCTCCCTGGAAACTATCATGGTTAATACCTGATGAATTAATCATGATGGGCTAACTAGCCTGTTTTCATTCTCATCTATCACCCTTCACTGGTGCTCCGCCAGCGTATCCCGTTAGCGCAGACGGGGTTACCATACCATTTTCACCCGTCAAAAAAAACCCTGAGAACCCCCGCCCCTCGACGTTGATGGCTTGACAGGAATTGAACAAGTTCTTTTATTTTGTATTGCAGTGTAACATGGGTGATAGTAGTCGGCTTGGTACTACACGGGTTCGGTATGGGTTGCCAGCTGGTGGCGTCTTTCTCGGACGCGCTCAGTACTGCCATGTAAGTATTTTAAGTAAGTAAGTAATTACCACAACATGATTTTTTTCTAAAAAATATTTATATAAATAAGTTATAATATAACAAATTAATTATAGTAACATAATATAATAACAATATCTTTTTTCTATTTCTCTCCCTCTCTCACACATTTTAGATAAATAATAGATACAGATATAGAATAGAGTATATAACTAAGTTAAATATTACACATATATATATTATAATTCTTAGTTAAATACTACCTACACAGATGGAATGCAACTTTGTTTTCATACGACCGTTAAAATTCAGTGTAAAATGACTCAAAATGCACAGTAACATGTTCAACTCCATGAATTACTCTGACCACAAATCAGTGTGCATTTGGGAATTTACTTCGACACGCCCTAATCGGATTATAATGAGACTTTTTCCTAATTTGTTGAATTCTGAAACGCGATCTTAATTTTTTTTTTATTTATAAAAATTACAAGCAAACTATGCGTAAATTTACATGTAATAATCAAGAACATATGTGATGTAATTTATAATACTTAATAAATAATTAATAATTATAAATAATATCTAATCCAATATTTTTACCGTACTTTTAAACGGCAAATAGGCTGATTGATTATTTGTAAAATAATTTTTTATCTTAAATTCTCAAATCCATTGATAAACACTTTACTGACCACACGTCCCGATATAGAATGAGGCACACTCCTTTCGCGTGGTTGTCGTAAGAGGTGACTAGGTGATTTAATGATCAAAAGATGGGCAGCAGTGACCAAAAGTAGTTAGTAACCCCCATACTTAACAGGCGGATTGGCAATCACAGTTAGGCTTTAGAGATGTTTTAAGATGGACGCAGCTGTCCATTTAAAGGATGGCAACTATTGGCAAACCCCCCAAAGGGGAGGCTTATGTTCAGCAGTAGACAGTTAAAGGCTGATATGATGATGGTGATGCTACGCCTGGTAGGTGGATTGATAACTGCTTTTGCTCACTGCTGCCCATCTTTCGATCATTAAATCACTAACTAAATCCCCTTATTGAAAAGGCCTATATTCAACGGTGCATATATTATGTACTCATACTATCGTAATACGTAGATTTTCACAAACTGCGAACGGATTTTAATACTTGATGGCATTCAGCACTGATGATACAATACAAAACTACCTCACACAATATTTCTTATCTTATTAGTATATATTTATTGTAAAAATCCTATTTTCAGTGCCAGAGGATTACCGAACTCTATCGAAACCTACGGCCTCGTATCAGCTATGTGGACTTCCACATTCGCTCTTGGCGCATTCATCGGACCCACCGTCTCAGGAGTGCTGTTCGACTCTATTGGCTTCCAAAACTCAACAATCTTCATATTTTTTTTGCATCTACTAGTGGTAAATATTATATCATAATTTTTTATTATATTATACTTTATATAGATAAAAATAATGACAGATCTGTGATTTGTACTACTAATGTATAGTTAAATGATATAACCGTATTTATTTATCAATTTATTTTATTAATACTTTCATGTACACACTAACAATACATACAGAGACATGGCAATGAAAAGCAAATGTGTAAAGGCGAGCTTAACTGTGCAAGAGTTCTCTTCCAACAAACCCAAAGTGAATTAAAGCATCAATATGAGATAAAACTATAAACAATAAAATAGAAGGAGTATAGTAACATAATATATACAACAACAACAAACTGTATTCTGAAGAATTGTGTAATATGACAGTGGCGATGGGAACCGCCACGCTCCATTATCGACTCTGAATTTATCCTCATACATGGCGCACAGCACAATTTCTAAAACGTTTCATTGTTACAAAGACTATAGTATGAAACATGTACACTTGTTTGTCATCTTTGTAGTGCAAAAAACATAGGGTTTAAGGTATCTTTAGGTTTGGTAACATACTAACCATGCAGGCGTACATAGATTACTCAGACGGTACGGTGACGTCTGCGATTTGAAAAATTTACCTAACACACTTTTTAGTCATTTTGACGTCGTAACCCTAAAATGACTAATAAATGACGTATTTTTATAGCCACAGACTTATTTTTGTTAACCAGGTAGAGTACCTTTTTCACAAACTGGACCATTTGCTTCTTTACTACCATCATTTTTAATTTATTTGGCAAATAAGCTGATGGCCCTCCTGATAAAAATAAAATTACCATCGCTTATTGACATGAATATACCCTCATAGAGTACATTTATGTACCCTCATACGTTACCATTCCTGAGAACTATGTTGTTATGTGTCCGTATCCTGTAATTTAACTAAACTATAGTTAATACAATCCAAAATTTAGTTATGTAAGCACAGCTGCTTTATAGTAGACAGAGGTATTCAAGCAGACGACTTTTTTATTAAAAATATCTCCCTAAGGTTTCTTCAAGGACATCAATGCGCGCGAGACACCCCTATTGTTGCAGCCATTCGTGTTTTTACCGTGTGTTTGCATGACTGTGTTTCGGTTTGAAGGATGAGATATGACGTGAATTTACGGGGTATAGAGGAATAATACCTGAGTCCTCAGGAATGGCAACACATGGGGGGTATCATGGGCGAAACAGTATACTTTGTTATATCCATGGTACTGCTCATGTCTATAGGCAACGATTACCACTTTCCATCAGGTGAGCCGTCAGCTTGTTTGCCATTCAAAGTTGCATAAAAAAGGCATTCATAGACTACAGTGACCGTTTACCATCAGAGGGGTTATAAGCTTGTTTGCCACCTTCGTGTATAAATATATATTTATATTTTATAAATTTACTGAATGTACTTTCCAGATGCTAATCGTACTGTCATTCCTGTGGACATGTGAGCGTTCTTCGAAGATAGACGTGTCAGCTTCGGCCGGTGATCTTCTGCAGCTCGACGGTACACTGGACGAGAGTGTGCTTATTGGAGAGAAATATATGCCGCCACCGAGGGTTAAAAGGTAAAAGTTTAGTTTTATTATAAGAATAAATACTTATAGTTTTATTTTACTAAAAGCAGAGGTAGGACATGGTAGTGAAATTATTGGGTACTAGAAGTATAACCAAAGGGTTCTCAAAAATGCATGAAGGTTACTATGGGTTGATATAATACATTCTGTGATGTTCATGGTACTGTTCATGTCTATAGGCGACAGTTACCACTTTCTGTCATGTGAGCCATCAATCTGTTTGCAACTTTATCTTGTACAAAGGTTTTCTGGTTTTAGCATGACCAAGATAATACAGTGTTAACGCTCCTTTTCCTCCTTAGATATTCTAGGACGTCACTAACGGAATTAATCTCAATACATCAGTGCAAGACAGAGAAACTTAAAATAAATCCCTATACCAAACCATATAGCCAGTATGGTAGTATAGAATTCTCATCTTATAAAGAAAGTCCCGTGTCCATCAACGACGTTGACGCACTCTAAAGGTAATCATGTTAAACTTTTTTAGCATGCAGAAATCGAAGTCATAACCTAATTTCATTTTAAAGGAAACTTCTATTGTTGAAAAAATAGCATTTTCCAAATAAAACAATTTTTTTCATCAACTCTGTATATATAACAGAACACACTGTGGTGCTCACGATGACAATTCTCACGTGGATTAAGTCACAGATCAAAAGTATTAAATAATAAATAAAATTAAAATAAATAAATATGCTACAGTCGCGGCTATGGTATCAGCGTGGAGAAGTCTCGTCCTCCGGCCATGAACAGCCTCATAGCGTGTTCCAGCTTCAAGAACCGGCGCAGTCCTTGGAGCCAGCGGACTCCTCGCTACAGGCCCACGTACGGAAGTCTCGACAATAGATTCAGAGGAATCTATGGCACATAAATATTGAACATAGTCTTTAATTTTAGTTTATTATCTGTTAATAAACTAAGTAATAATATGCAGACAATAATATCGTTTATCTGTATAAAGTTACTATAAAATATATTTTTATAAATATAGATTTAAAATATAGAATTAAATGTATTATAACATTATTTGCAAAGTGATTTTTTTTATAATATAAATATAAATAACTACATTGACGTATAGCGATGGTTTATAAGGAAAATCATCTAACTAACTTGGACAAAATTTACACAGGGGACACGGAAAGAATAACTAATTCTAAATTTATCCCAAATACTATAAAGCCAAAAAATAAAGTAAATTGGTTTTAATATCAAATCTCAATATAATAATATCTTTGTTACATAGAAAACATATTAAGCCAATTAGACGAAATTTTTACAACAATTTTGTACATAACAGCAGGTTGGAGATTAAACGTTTAAAATCTATTCGACGGTGATTCGTAACAAATATCCAAAAATACAAACATCCTTACAAACATTACAAGTCCATTGTCGATTACTAACAAAGAATAATGATACATTATTTATGTAAACGAGCAATATATTTCAACCTATTAAATGATCACAATGAAACAGTAAAGAAGGACAGACTCATCAAAACTAAAAGGTTACATTCCGAAAGCATTCGTGAAAAGGTCATAGGCTCAATTGTCGTGAATATCCGATTAGCAAATGTACGAATCGACCTATAACTACATGATCTATCTAATAAAAGTTACCTTAACATCTTTGATGGATGAAAATTAAATAGTAACCATGCCCTTGCTGATAGTTTACACAGATGGGATACTATTAAGGAATGATAGGGAAACGTGACAAAACGACCAGGAATTAAACACGTTAGTTTCCAAGGTGAACTGCTTAGAGATCTACTTGAACATATTGTTAACGAACTTTTACCCGCTACTTCATCCTCGTTAAGTTGTTAAGGCGCTATAAGATAACAAATAAACAAACTCACTACGAATTTTGAACTAGTGTTTCCATTCCCCTTTTCCTTAACAATCTATCTTCCGCCTCTAACAATGTACCACTACTGAGTACAGGGATTTCAAAATAATAAAATATAACTTACTAGCTTTTACTCACTTCATCCGCGTAACCGGGATATTAATTATCGGAATAAAAGTATCCTATGTCCTTCTCCATACCATATAATATATGTCTGTATACTAAATTTCATAGTTATTTGTTCATCTGTTAAGGCGTTACGAAGTAACAAAAAATCTCACTTTCATATTTTTTTAATGATTAGTAAGGAAGTAAGAATTGTGATTACCACGCTATAGTCAAACGGCTTGATATAACGTTTTATTTCGAATTTTGCTTCTCTTGTGCATTTCTGTATTATGTGCTTTGTTGAGCATACTATATCATAGTAAATATAACTATAGGTTGTAATGGACAATTTGATTGCAAACTTTTATCACTCTATCCGATGATAATATCTTGACTTATAGATATTGATCATTCTTATATATTTATTGCCAAATATTAAACTACTACATTATAGCTATATACTTACGACTTCCTTGCCACAAACCAGGATTATCACCGTAATTACATTATTGGTGATGACGTCAGTACAAGAAAACATACATTATTTTAGATATATCTCTATGTAACAAAATAATGTTTGTTATTATTAATTAATTTATTTAAGTATTAATGACTAGCTTTTACCTGTTACTTCGTCCATAGTACAAAGAGAAGGGATAGAAAGTAGCCAGTAACCTTTTTTTTTATACAACTTAGAATGGCAAACAAGCTAACAGCCCATTTGATGGAAAGGTGGTAACCGTCGCCTATAGACATGAGCAGTACAGAGCATGGACATAACAGAGTATACTGTTTTGTATACCTTCTCCATATTATATAATATGTACATACCAAATTTCATAATGATTGGTTACGACGATAAAAGGTAACAAATAAACAAAAAAAAACACTTTTACATTTATAATATTAAGGGTAACTAGCTACCTTACAATTTTCTCAATCTTTTTTTTCTTCTTTTTTTTTAATATTGGCTCCTCTTAATAAGTATGAAACAAATCTATCAATAGAACCATTATCGCTAGCGAGTCCATGATATAGAATGAGATGGCGACGTCAAGTGTCTTGGTCTTCCCCATGCGAGTGCTAACCTAAACAATAGATTCGTTTGCTGCATCTAGTCTACCTACTTTGAACTCTAATTCATTAAAACTGATCACTGAGTCATCAAAAGTTTTTAACGAGTAATTCATATATTCCTAAGGTTGAGAGTTCCGAGTAGTATATGATTTATGAAGCCTGACGTCATTAGGAATTGTATGTTTCTTGCAGAATTACAATTAATAAATACACTCAAATAATTACACTCAGGTTGTAGAATAAGCTCCCTGCCAAGGTTTTCCCAAGAGACTACAGCATGGGGTTCTTCAAAAGGGGGTAAAGAGGTTTCTTAAGGGTTGGCAACGCGCGCGTAATACCTTTGGTATTGCAGGCGTTAATAGGCTACGGTAACCGCTTACCATCAGGTGGGCCGTATGCTTGTTTGCCACCTCAGTAGTATAAAAAAAAAATACAATACTCTTTCTTCGAAAATACTAACATAAGCAAATTGTCTAATTAGAATTGCATGTCATAAATATTTGGACTTTTAACGTAGAAATTAAAATCTGTAGGCATAATTTTAACTGAACTATTAAAATTCTACACAATAATATGCTTGTTTTCTTTAATTTTATATAACAGTTATCTATATTATATACATATATATAAACAATTTTATTCCAATCCCAATATTTCTGTAACCATACGTTAAAGTATTTTCACCTATAAAGAAAGACGAAATATCTCATGATTACCAAATAGGACTTGAGGATATAACAACATCTGCTCATGCAACTATTTTTCCAACTCTTCTCTCCCTAAGTGCAATGATTTCTCATGAAGTAGTACTCATAACAACAATCTTTAATAAATACTATAGTCTATTTCAATACAATTTAATGTAAAACAAATAATTGACATGGCCATAAGAAAATCTGGTACTATTCAATAAATAAATACTACACTCAAAAATTCATTAATAGATTGCACGTTTCGATCTGTTGCTAATGTCATTTAGAGAGTGTTTCTGTGGTAATTTCAACAAAACTTGGTTACCTTTTAATTAAATTATTTTGAAAGAGACTATAATTACGAATATTTCAAAATTTTGATGATATAAGTTTACCGACTAGCATAATAGATATAAGAGCTCTAGAATCCTAATGAATGCTTTAAGAAATCTTTATCCAAATATTAACTCAAATATTACGTATACATTATTCACAGCTACGTAACTCGTAATATTTCAAATTGAAACAGAAATTTTCTACATCGCATCACTGTTTTTTACAATAAAACAGTAATAATTATAATATTAGTTCTGGGCTCTGTTATAAGATAGATACAATCACATCTTTTTTTATTAAAAGCAAAGCCATCACTTCTTTGTTCTATTAAAAAAAAAAACAAACTAGCTAACAAACAGTGATCTTAAAATAAGCGAACTAAACAAGATGACATCACAAAAAGCTCAAGCCTTAGTCATCGCGATCATTATCAAATTTTGAGGTTCCGTTAAATACTGATTTGAAATGAATAGCCGTTGCTGTTTGTGTTCGCACAAATAAGATCATTCGAAATCGATAGTAAAATTATTTTTCTGTACATTAACTAGCTGTTCATACATTCTTGATTCGCTCATTTTTAGATCTTGTCTTACGCATGCACGCAAGTTCTAGAAACTCTGGATTTTGTCTCTTTTACAAAGTCAGAACTAAAGAGCTTCTAAAGACCTGCCCAAATAATTATTATAAAATGAAACGGTTATGTAATGAGCTCTGTGCTTAGATTTTCTTAACAGACTACAGCATGAGATTCTTCAAAAAATTAGAAAGAAAAGAGGTTACTTTTAATATATTTTACGCTAAAATAAACGCTTACCATCAGGTGGCTTATACTTATACCATATGCTTGTTTGCCTTCTTATTTACTACCAAAAAAGATGATGATGATGACTCATTTATCACCAGGATACCGTAAGAGACGACTAAGATAACAAAGTATAACAGTGTATGAAAGCATGAAAATGAAAACTTAAAACTTTATATCAAACTGTATGTCCGGCGTGGCAATATTAACCAGTGCTACCGAAGTGAAAATATTTGTAAATTTTCTTTGCTAATAATAAGAACTGATCACAAATACCAATCAATACATATTGTTAGCAATATACCTTGTCAAGTCGACCTCCAAGCAGTTCCACTTGGAAACCATCTTAATTAATTTTTATTTGTAACTGACCTGCCTTAATTCTAATTGTTTCATCCTCCACTGGTACCCTATCATTGTATAAACACCGTTCCATCTTCATATATTAAAAAATCCTCTTGGCATTGAGCAGCATTACTTTTGTTTAAGCTAGTTGTTTTACTCACTACCTACGCTGTCTACTATGAAACCGCTAACAGGTATTTGGTCGACTTTCCTGGACATAAGTATTTTGTACGAAGAACCAGCAACAGAGGGCCTACCATGAAATGTTTTTTGAAATTTCGGAGCCAAAGAAAATACAAATTTGATGTTAAAATTACAAAATACATGCCGTTTGGAAATATTAAAAATGTTAAAATATTGTTCCTTTGGACTTTTGTGATAGGATGTATGAAGAACGCAATGTTCATGAAACTCCATTTATTGGTCCGATTTTAGTATAAACAAAAACACGAAATTGAGTCCGAAATTTCGGAATTTCATTTCATGGTAGACCCGCTGAATCCAGTGAGATAACACTGTCAGCAGTCAGAAATACGAGGAAGGATAACGAAAATTTAAACGTTGTTTGTGAATCTTAAATGATATGCAAAAATAAATAAAAATAAATTTGATATCGACAGTATTTTTATAGTTTTTTTTTTTGTTCTCATCAATTTAGAAATTATTGTGATTATTTTGTTTGCAATAGGATACTAAAATAATTGGATCTTTACCCATGTTGGGCCCATATTGATTTTTTATATATTTGTATTGAATTCGCTATTTTCTTTTTAAGACATAATCTTACATTTTTAATGTTTATTACTTATTAA